TTTTTTTTTTTCACTTTCATTATTTTGGCGACCACTAAATTTCACCTCTATGCCACACAGCAATATCAAATGACGGGATAGTCTGAAAATTTTCATTAAACTATGTTATATCTTTTGAAGCGCTTCGTTTATCTGATATTTTTTTACAGAAATCTACAGATATATCAAACAATGTTTATCACTCCCAGTTGAGGATAGTGTTAGGGTGTATTGTTTGAGATCACATCTACTTTACAAAAAACGTCACCGCTTTACACAGAAGACGTAAGTTTGATTCCCGTGTGGGGAGGTTGGTTTTTTTTCCATATATTTTTATTGAATATCTTCGTCTGCCAACTCCCTTGGATTTTGTATCATTCTCAGCCTGAATTTGCTCTCACAGGCAGTGCCAAAGCAACCCGCCTCCTAAATGATCTTATTTGCGTTGATGATGGTGTAAATCATCTATATTTCTTTTAAAACATAGCTGGATCTCCAGCCATTGTCCTGACATCACAATTTATCATTTATTTATTATAATTATAACACTGACGGCGAGTCGATTATTTGCTCGTGAGGAGATTTAAGGAGACTCACTTAGGTTGCTTTTTATTTTATCTGATGTTTTGGGGGTGTTTTTAAAATTTAAATTATATTTCCCTTGATGCTGTTGTTGTTTGGGGTTGATTTGGGGGTTGGATTTGTTTGTTTTGTTTTGTTTTGTTATGTTTCTTTGTTTTTGGGGGTGGTTATTTTTTTGGGGGGAGTGGGTATTTTTCTATTTCCTTTTAGCACATGTGTTTGTTTGTTGTAGTTGTTTGTTTTTTTCTTTTACCTTTAATGCTACCCTCAACGTCACTCTATGATGTTGTGTGCAAGGATTCCATTTTTGCTGTAGTTCTCGGTTCAAAGCAATGAATGATCATATAAATATAAAATAAGTGGGGGTACCTTTACCTGGGTGCGTTTTCAGCTTAGTTGGCATTATGTTGGACTACGCGGGGATGGATTTCCCTGGTTTGAACCCCGAACCTTGCGTGTAGAACTTGGGTTGCTTTGTGGACGTTCTAAATGTTCTCCGCCTCTTTGGCTAGGTCATAATATAATTGGAGATGGTCATAGCATTCAGAGTTCTGCCTCTGAGATATCCTCACAGAGTTGAAAGGGAATGACAAACTTTTACAATTTCTTCTTCCTTATATCATTTTTATTTCACCGTTTCCACATGAAGCAAAAACTCAAAATCGCCCCATGGGTAACCGTTTAGAAATTTTTTTTACGCTTGGATCTTCCAGGTACCGGCATCAATGATGCAGTAGTTAGGAGCTTTACCGCAGAAAACAGAACATCTGATTTTGATTCCCAAAGGATTAGACTTCTTTTTAAAAATGTATCGTTTTTTCTGCTTGTGTGTTGTATCCCTCTTACGCCTAGGTTGACACTGACAGGCAGAGTCGACGGGTGCCTCGCATATTATCTCAATTGTGTGGATAGAGGCCTTAAAAATTCTTATCAAATAAAATGGTCCCACTAGATAGCGTGGGGAAGAAAACATTTATAGTATTTCGTTTCACAGCAGAAGTCACATAGTTGATTTGGGATTGTTTACACTGTCAGGTAATTAAGTGGTAACAAATTAAGTATCATCTTGTTATTGAATGGAGCTATTCAGTTACGTACAATAAAAAGAATCCAGATCACATACAGCTAATATAGTAAGACACATCCTTTCATCTTCCTTGATTCCAAAAGTACTGGCGATATCTCCCCTTTCGAGCACATCAAAGAAGTCAAAACGTAAGGGGAGAGGAACAGTATCTGGGCCATCTACTTCCTCTGTGTCAATCAACCAGGCAAAACTGGGTCATGCATTCTGCTGAGATGGTCTGTCAAGACGCAAAAGACTATATTATGGAGCTATCACATAGCGTGGTCACAGTTGACTGAAATAGAGCACAAAACATTAGCTATGCAACAGGGTGTAGAAGGCAACATGACGTGAAAATGGACTGCAAATAAAATCAGATAGATAGATAGATAGATAGATAGATAGATAGATAGATAGATAGATAGATAGATAGATAGATAGATAGATAGATAGATAGATAGATATCTGCTCAGTATCTAGTTTTGAGAAATTTGACGATAAACATTTTGAGTTTCACAGCATGTCATGCTTTTTCGAATACAATTTTCAAAATAACAATAGCTTGATCACGACCCCATATAATCTTACGATGTTGATAGAGAAGATAGAAAATAATATTATAATTTTGTTTCTGGCCGATTGGTCTTAGTAACTCAACACGGCCACAGATATGTCGGAAAGAACTTTGTAATTGTAAGGTAACGAAAAATAAAAAAAAACAAAATGTATTTGATAAAAAGAAGGTAAATTGAAGTGTTGAAAAATTTATTAGTTGGATCTATTCAGTTAAGTTGGAACTGAAATATGAACCAAAATTCACTAAAGGTAACAATCAAAAAAGTGTTGTAACATTATTCAACATTATAATTGAGGAATGTACAGTAAAACCAACATCAATATATATCTCTCCGTCTCTTCTCTCTCACTCTCTCTCTTTCTCTCTCTCTCTCTCTCTCTCTCTCTCTCTCTCTCTCTCTCTCTCTCTCT